TGATTTCTTTAAAGACATACCATTAAAAGACTGCTGATTCTACTGATAAGAAAAGTGTAACAGCCCGTGTATAATACGTGTCTACATGGATTTAAAAAATGTCAACAAGGTGCTGGTACATGAGCCTGAAGGGCGCCCACTGCAAAGGAGAGAGGACACTATAAATGAGCTACAAACTGACGAAATGCTGCAAAAGATATGATACTGAAACATTCAGTAGAGAAATATATAAATTCAGGATTGTGTTGTCACAGAAAAAAATGCTCTAAAGACTGGGGAAATGTGTGCAAAATACCCCTGTTTTATAACTGATGAATGCTCTATTCAGGGATGTTTTCATGATGTTTATCTGCTTTTCATAAGTTCTGCATGAAGAGAGCCTGAGCCATTTGAATGAGGCCACGTGGTGTTAGTTACAAGTTTTCCATTAGAGTCAACCTGATCTGATGAGATTCTGTATACAGTAAGCCTCAGTCGCTGTTATTAAGGGTGCTGGAGCAGGCTGACACATGTACCGATGACTGTATGAAAACACATTTCTTCTTTAATTCCTAAATGAGGTCAACGCCGTTTGGAAAAACCAGGCAGACTGATTTTACAAAATGCCTGCTAGAATTCAAATAACGGAAGATAGCGTTTTAATATGATACTGGGTTAATCCGTTGTTGAACATGAAAGCACTTTTGCAGACTACATTTTAGAGATCTGAGTGATGAACAAGCAATGGTTTTATCCAACCAAAGCAGATAGAATAATAATAAAAGCAACTGTCCAATTTTCAAATGATGACCATATTGTACCGGACACTTAAAGATGATATGACATCAGTTATAAAGACTTCAAATGGCTTTTATAGTTTTTTTCTCAGCTGGTGGAGTTGTGCAACTGCACAGCCTTGTCTGAACAAGACTAGAAGCTATTTCCTGAAACTATTGCACAGCTTAATGTGGGGCAAGACTAAAGCCTCTTGCAGGGAAACACACAAGAAAAAAATGTAATAACTCTGGCATAAATAAATCTACAGTTCCAACGGATTTACAGACTTTGTTGTTGTCAGTTTAGTGGTTACAAGCTTTAGCATGCTGTGACTACATAAACAATGTGCCATGCCTCTGGGTCTATAACATGCTGAAAGTTCTTGGGTAAATCAATCAATCAATCAATTAATCAATCAATAATCTATTAGTGACAGTACCCTACCTCTCCAAAAATGAGTCCAGTAGACAATATCTGGACTCACTGCGAGTAACCTACCTGCCTAAAACAGTGACCCGCTGCTCTTAAACCAATCTCCTTTTAAAAGTCACGCAAATATTATCCTGCCTAAAGAAAAAGAGAAATAATAATACTATTATGTATCAAACGCTCCACTGAGTGTACGGGGGCTGCTCTTTTATTCGGCATGGCCACCAAGCAGCAACCATTGGAAAAGTGACACGAAACTTCACAGTGATAACTTGTCGCTGTGTCCAGCTGTGTGTTGCTGGAGGACTGGTGGGTGATTTAAGACTCGACAGCATTTTCTCGAAACAAGTGTTGTCTGTTTGATACCCACGCCGCACTGACGACCGACTCTCGTTGTCGTGGAAACTTTTTTTAAATCGCGCTGCCTAAAACATGTAAATACGTGGATAACTAGAAAAGTGTTGCCAGGTGTTTGACCGGAGTTGGCCCTGCAGCCTCCTTCCATCCAGATGTAGGCAGCCTAAAAAGAAAGATTCCCACGAAGTTACACATTAAAGAGTCGACACGAGTGCTTCTGTCCGAGAGAGGGCATGTATCCGGACAGGAAGGGGGCTCACCTGACCAGCCCCACCTCAATGACCCCGACAGGTAACTCAACTACCTAACGTTCAGTTCCTCCCCTGGAGAAGGAAAGAAAGAGTGAACTTTTACCTTTTCCCGTTGCTAAGAACCTCCGACGACTGTTTCTCATTCACCTCATGGCTGCTGAACATAGCGGTGAGATAAACCGACAGCGACGGCCCGGAACATCGACCCTACGGTGCGGTGCGGTGCGGTGCGGGGAGACTTCCTCCTCCTCTCTGTTTGAGCATCAGGCATCAAGGCAGACACCATAGAGCCGCTTTCAGAGCAGGACTTTCAAAATAAAATCACTGCCGGCGAGCGCGCGCACCAAAAGACCAAAAAAAGTCTAAAAATATATACAGAGATAATAAATAGGCAAATTGAAAGCAGAACAGCTTCAAAATGCATTTAGACATCTATGAGTATAATGTATAGGCTAAATTAAATATGCTTTTTTATGTCTAGTTGACACTTAATTTATTTATATTTTCCGGTAGGCTGCTCTAACTTGACTGGGGTGCGTTACATCGGTGGTATGTCTCTGAAACTCTCTCCATTGTCCCATAGCTGTTCAACTGATTCACATCATTGTCATTCTCATCAAACCATTCAATGACGCATGTCATGTTTCTCCACTCATTCATTCAGGGTTCTCCTTTAAGTTGTCAAACATCTGTGCAAGCTATGTTTTGAGACATTTTAATCACTTTTAGCAAAAAAAAAAAGGATAAAATAAAAGATAAATATCTGACCTAACTTTAAATTAAGTGGAATAACTAGACTGTTCCACAGAATTGCTTACTGAATCAGTTATTTCAGATGAATCAAGCTGAAGTCAATAAGTGCTATCAATGTCCACCAGAAATGAAAGAAATGCTTATTTTTCTATCTACTATACTTGTCTACAGCAGTCATTTGTGTCTCACATAAACCTAATCCCTTTCTCAAACAGCTGTTTGCTCTCATCCTTAACCTTGGTATTTAATCCGTCCACCCTCCAGCTCAGTGCACTGGGTGAGTGAGGCCTCAGCCTCTGTACTTTTCTCTTCATCGGAACCAGTATGATTCTGTCACTCCTCTCCTTTCTACAAGCATGCACACTTGTAAAACGATTACTGTAATCAGTAACGGCCGTCTACCATTCAAGAGCTGTTTATTTGACTCAATAGGACTAATGTGGTTAAACAACAAAATAATCCTGACATTAAATATTTTACCATTCAAGTTTATGTTTTAATCAGTGACCAAAACTTCAAGTTTATAACTGACACAAGATGGTATAAAATAATAAAGGACTTTTTATCACTGGTGCTTCTTTCTTTTTATCCTTGGCTCACATTAACCTCTACTATCTTCTCACACAGTAGATCAGAAGTTGCATGGCAGTTAATGTCAGCACTTATGTCACCAACCAGAGGTGTTACACGTTGCACCTCACACACCAAACAGCCATCTGTTCTGAATCCTCGCCTTTCTCCTCTTCATTCATATCTTACCTCCTGACGGGTTGTAGTCATTTACTGTTCCAGTTCTCTACCACATAATGCACATGGTTTTAGCCAGGTCTGCTTTATGACTTAGGCAGTTCATCTGTGAACTACATAGTTCCTGTCTGTTTCCAGCAGGCTATTGTAGTCTAATGATCATAAAGATCCAAATTAGTAAATACTGATGTTATCAAGCTTTCACTGTGTTTTAAATAGTCGGTCAACAAAGATTTTGTTTTCTATTTTCCCATCAACCAAGCACCATGACTTCCACCACAGTCACCGCATTTTCTTTTTATGGTTACCTCTGCATCGGACACACACTGTACTGTAATTGTTTATGAACACAATCAATGTTTTCCTTCTTCTCTAAAAAGGTTGCAAAACTTTCTCTCAGCTCTTTGACTGATATGCTTCCCAGCCACATTATCATTCAGCAGAGCCACTGTGGTTAGTCTTGCAGCTTTTGCACTCCTCAGCACAGGTTGTACCCACACGTTCACTCTTCTCAGCATTGATAATTTTACTGTTCCATCACACCCTCGTTCAGTAAATTCCCATTCACATCTCCAACCTATCCCTCCGCACTCTTGAAAACTGAACCTGACACACTTTGCTACTGTATGACAAAAACACTGTTGTGTGCATTTATATGTTTCAGTTAACTACCTTAATCTGTGGTTGCTTAAGACTTACTTAAAACAATGCACTGAACTCACGAAATAATAAATACATTATAATCCTGTAAATATTCATTGAGTATGGATTTCTGTTGAAATTTCATCACTTTAAATTGAATTCCCCCATTGTGGCTTAAAACACACACTTGAGGAAGTTACCTCATGTGCAAATGCACAACCACAGACAAGACAGAGGTACTTTTGTTAGGTGTTAGGTGAGTGTTTCTCTGTGGTAAATGTGACACGAGTTTCCCTCTGCAATTAATAAAGCAGATTTAATCTCATCTCACCTTATTAGTATGGCTAGATTTAGCCCTGTTGGCTATCAGGCAGAATCAGACAGTTTTATCTTTTCCATTAGCATGTTTGTCTTCTGAAGAGCTGAATTTGTTTTGTTTACTAAAATTCATTCAAACATTTCCCAGAGTGCTTGTACCTTTCAGTAATAATGTAACAATATATTTCGGGAGGCAGTTAAATCGAGATACGAATATGTGAAGATGCAAACTGGTGAGATGAAAAATGAATTTTTTTGAAACAGCAGAGGGCGCTATCTACTTATGACTTTTGTTCTTTGTCCTACTTCACTTGTGCCAGTAGCTGCATCAAGGCGCAAAGACATCACTTCACATTATCAAAAAAAAAAAAAAAGAATGCATTGTTTGCACAGTTTATACCCTACCTCAGAAACAGCAAATGATTCTTGTAGAAATAAAGAAATCTTTTTTGGTCACAATTGCTCTTCAATCTCATCTAGTTGAAAAAAATCACTAGAAAATCATATTGTGAACCCAGTATTGTGAACTGTGTGGATTGGGAGTTGAGTGTATCTTACATCCCTACCTTTCAGTATATTGTTGGAGACCTGGTTTCAAGATTAATCTAACAGACGCTTGATGAGAAAGGGAAGGAGAATGCTTGGCAACTGTGGCGATCATCCACAAAACTATTTGTACTACTTTTGGAAAGTCTGGCGGAGGTGTCTTATTTCACCTAGGTGGATACAACAGACAGATTAACAATATATAGTTACACCAAAAAGTGATATATATTAAAGATGGTATATACAAAACAAAACGACACATTTCGGTAGTACATACAGAACAAGTGTCCATGGCTTTCAGTTTCAAATCTGAATGAAATATTGTCTTATTCTGTGCAAAATATAAAAACACACACAAACAACATAAAAACAGCATACTGCTATGGCTGATATAAATAAGTGTCTTTATAAAGAGCAGTAACAGGGGTGATGCGGGGGAAGTATTGCTTTCATGTTTGACTCATTCAATGTTTCGAACCCTGAGAATATCGGAAATGAATTGGGTGACACCCAGAGGGAGACATTTTCTCTTCTCCTGTGAACTGCACTGCATCCCACTGAATAAGAGAGGGATAGATTGTACTGCAATTGGACCCACATTATCAGTCTGTGATGCTTAAAAGATTTATATTTTAAAAAGGACGGCCTGTTGTGTTTTACCACTGAAGATTTTCTGAAAGTTAATGAAATGATTCTGACAGATCTGGATTTTTTTCAGACTAATTTTGCAAAACCCTTCTGAAAAATCTGAGAAAACAACAAACAAACAAACAGAAATAGCTTAATAAAAAATAACACATCAATAAAATCCACATTTCATTTTCATAACAGTGTCCTTCCTGTGTTTGCCCTGGTGTCGTGTCGTCACGTGACTAAAGGGTTTATGTCACCCAGCTGTCCATTCGCATTCGCTTGACTGACGGACTCTCTGTCCGACTCGCAGGGAGCGAGTGGAAGTCCTGGCGCTGCTGCTCCTCCCGGTCACTGCCACCCTCGTGGGAGCTGCAGGAGGAGCTGATGCTGTCTGCAGGAGACCTCCCCATCTCTGCTCTGTTGGATGAAGAGGTGGAGGAGTGATGATGAGGAGGGGGATGAGCCTGAGTCATGTAGCCTGATTGGCTGAGGTGGTCGCGGGGCGGGGAGATAGGCTCGGCTTTGATGTTGATATTGTGATTGGTGCTGATGGAGAGACTGGACGTCCCCGACCTACAGACAGAGGGACAGAGGAGGAGGAGGTTTTGAGGCCGAGACTGTGGAGTGAAGGTGCCACCTAGTGGTGAAACTAACAAGTCTGTAGACAGAAAGGACAACTGCGAAGGAGCTGCTAAACTGTTTTCTATTGTTCTGAGTACAATGACAGCAAATATCTATGTAGTACTGTACTTAAGTAGTAATTTGAGATACTTAACTTGAGCATTTTCATTTTATGCTACTTTATGCTTACACTATAATTAAGGATCAAATATACTACTACTAGTACTTTTTTCCCACATTGTTTATTTGACAACTCATGTTGAGAGTAAAATTAAGATTTTACATATAAAACATAAAATGACCAAAAAGCAATATATGATGTATTTGAATAGATTTAACAAACCAAGAGTGCAAAAATGAGTTAAAATTAGTTCCACTTGACAAGAAATTGTTACTTACACATTAATGCATTACCAAATATCATCTAATAATATAATTTGTAATATTAAAACACTCACAGGAGGCATTGTTTTGCATTTAGTGCATTTACTTTAGACATTCAGAATTCAGGACTTGAAAGTGGCGCTATGTAGCTTGTGAAAGGAGAGATAATGCCTCTTCTTACCAATGAAAAGGTGAGCACATAATTAAAATGCACCCTTGCTCAATACAATAGTAGTCACACCCTCTCCTATGTCAGGCTTAAGTCTTAAGACATTAGCCTCGTGCTTCAATACCAATTCACATCAAAAAGTATACTCTTAAATGACCAATGTGTAGGATTGAGTATTATCTAGCAATGAACTTGCAGATTGCAACCAACTCGCCTCACCCTCCCGTTCCAAGCATGTAATCAAAAACACAGTGGTCGCAAAACTCGTGAAAAATACAAAAGGCACCATCTAGAGCCAGAGTTTGGTATGTCCCCTTCTGGGCCCATTCTAAGTTAACAAAAACACAACAATTCTTATATTCAGTGATTATACACTAATGAAAACACACCTATGAATATTATATTCAATTGCTACCAATAGATCCTCCTAAATGATACACACTGGACCTTTGACAGATTGTGAAAAACTGCCTCTGGCTTTTGATGCTGCATTACCTGTTCTGTACACTGTGTATGACAGGGGATTTTTCAAACAGCGTGAATGGATATGTCAACTACCAACTTTGTTAACAAACTGTGAAACAGTAAATCCTGCTATCAGTCATGAAGAGAGAAAGGTTAACTGTCAGGTACTTACCCCAGTGAGCCCAGCTGGTGTTGCTGCCATGCCGCCATGGAGCCCAAAGAGGGGCCTGCAGGGGAGCTGAAACCTGACAGCTCTGCACTGTTCAGGGAGTAATCTGACAAAGAGAGAGACAACATGTAACATCCTTGCACACAAAAAGCATTAGACTCAAGTCTGTATTGTTGTTCCTTGATACAATTTTAGTATCAGAGTAAAAGGCTAAAGTGAAACTTTGCTCACATTCCCACAATGAGTAGCTTAACCACCTGAAACAGTTTCACTTTCGCCAATGTTCGTTGGAGAGTTTTCGTGTCACTTGATGCACATAGGCTCTTCTACCACTTCTACCATTTAATGACACAAAAATTAAATGAAGACAAATGGCAACATTTCAGTGTCTTTTTAGCTGTGTTGTGGCCTCATTGGGTTTTCAGGGGCTCCACTAACAACAATAATACTGTACAAATACTAATAATAATCAGGTACCATTGTTGTAGGCCGAGCTGATGCCGGAGTAGACCAGACTCTGGTGAGACAGACTGGGTGTGGTGATGGAGACCACTGGGGTGGACAGAGGCTGGCTGGACTGACTGCTGCTCAGCCTCTGGTTACTCTGAAAATAAATAAAAACAGATACAAAGTCACTAAGTTTATTTATCTTCTCTCTTGCTGCTCTTGTTGCTTTTCTGTGCTTAGCTTGCAAATATACCGAACAGTAGATTACATGCAGCTGAGCATTGCTTGTGATAACCCATTTCAACCACATGATGTCAGTATAAATTCATTTTCTGAAGGTGTCTTTCTTCAGTGAGTGAAAAATAAGGGGAAAAAAATTAAATACAGAATGACTTTTTGGTATGTCCACTTTGTATTAACATGCCACATCTACTTACTAATTTTCTAAGTTCCCCAGAACGCTCTCTGTAAATCCATTTTTAAGATAAAGACCTTATAGTCATTACTTAATATTTGAAAACAGACGCCCTAGTTTGTAAAACAGCTCTTGGAATGAAAATATTTCTTATCCTCTAAATTACTTGGTTCAATTTTGAGCTATTTTGCCACATCTCAACTGGTAGCAGTCTTGTTAAGGAATCATAATCAGGCCCACAGCTACAACATCAGTGCTAATTTAATTGATTGAGTGTTTTTGTATTAATCAACAAACCACTAAATACTAGCGGGCAATTCATTATTAATCAGACACTGACTCAAATTAGGCTAGAAAACCAAGTTGGTTTGGCATACTTTATGCCTGGCTGGTAAAGCTGCTTGTAATCAAAACTGGTGGCTCTTAAACTTGACACATTTCTAACGGTAATTAGACGTTTTGTGTTGTTCCTCTCTGGGTGTTGGCATTCCAGCCTGATAATGTCAGCAATGACATCACCCTGAGTGAGGTAATTCACTACTGAACACACACACACACACACACACACACGGTAGGTTAACCAACTGATATATGCCTGCAACTAACATGTCATCAAAGCTCAGCCAGTGTAAGGGAGCATTGCATTATGTTTCCTTCCTCTTTCCCTGTGTGATCTGTGTTATCCCTGTCACTATGCATGACAAATGGTGTAACTATAGACTTCCAGTTGGAGCTAACATGGTAGCGATGATGGTTATCGAATGCAGCCTGGGAAAAAAGGCAGACCCGCTCAGTTCTTTATGGATACTGCTTTAAAGACATTCAATGAGCACATTTTAAAGGGTTGTTCATGCCTGTTTGTGCAAGTCACACACAGTGCACAACGCACACTGTGCACTCTAACATGCATACACATACACAGAGGAGGAAGTGAAAGGCAGTTTCAGAATGATCAAACAGAGGAGTTGCTGTCTGACCACAACTCAACATCTTTTATTGCAGTCAACAAATACTACATGTCGTCACCTGAGCAGCTACCATCCTCTTCTGTTTAAACACTGGCATGTTTCAACTGCACGTCAGTGTAAACCCATAAAAGCTGATATTTAACACTCTAAGACCACTGAAAAAGACAATGCTAACTGACATATTCATCCAGTGATCAACTCAGGAAGAACTAAATGATGAGAAATTATGATGATTAACAAATCAAATTTTGACTAATTTCTGCAGAGGCAGTGTTGCCTGCCACATGTGGGATCATTTATATTTTGGCCACCTGAAATTTAGTCATACAGTATTTTATTAATTGTAATGACTGCCCCGAGATAAGTCTAATCAGTCTAAAGTGCTTTCAATTTGTGATCCATTTCTAACTCATTGTCTGTAAATGATCAAAATAATCGTACGTTTTCTTAACGTTTTACACTGTAACTCCTGTATCTCCTGAAAGGTGGGACTTTCACATTTATGTTTATAAAAAGGAGAAGTAAGAAATGCTATGCTTTTTCTGATGGATCCCACAGCCAGCGGAATAATGGAGCCGCCTGGTCAACATAAAAAAGAAAAACAAGTCTCACTTTCCATTGTTTGCTAATCGTTACATCATGTTTGAGCATATTGTGGGAGGGAAGGGCAGCAGTACAGGAGTAAAGAGCAAATCAATAACTTCAATAACCCACGGACTCAAGAAGCTCTGAAGACTCCTACTGCACTCTACAGAGCAGGGACTACGGAGTCTGTTAGATTTCATGAATCTAATCACCATAAGTTTTTGTACTCTGCATTTTCTGAGGCCTTACTTGTTCCACAATTTGAGATGCGAGTATAATGTAACAGTGTATTATTTAAAAATTTGAGTTCTAGTGTTATTATTTCTGAATCTGACTCAAGTTTTCACAGAGAATCTGCACTTCCTTTTTAACAAAGTGGATGAGTTGTAGCCTGAATATTTGTAGGCCTGTTGTCTTCCAAAACTAATTTTGTGGTAAATTAAAAAACTTTAACTTTAAACCCATCCTTTTACCTTATAAGGTCCTTAAGGATAGAGTAATTCAATCTGGCAACAAGGGAGGGTGGGGGCGGGGGTGTGTGGGGGTGTGCGGGGGTGTGCGGGTGTCTTTCGGTATGAACAAGCAGTGGTGTCACCCTGTGTGTGAAGGTAAAGTGCACACACTTTACTGATTCTTGTGGTCTTTCTGCAAATGCTGGTGCAAGATACAGAGGGATACAGATAAAACATAACACACATGACATCCTACCAGTGGAGGAGTTTAGTCCTAGTCTAGACTTCTTTGACAGCTAGAGCTTTGATGTTTTGATGAGCAGGTCCCTGAATTATCTTGGTCTTGTCTTATAACCCACAGACATATGACATATATATTGTTTGTTAGTGGTGGTAAGTACTATAAAGGGCAGCAACACACCAATAAAATAAGACTGTAAGCTGATGTTTAGAATGCAGCCAAAATAAGGCACAGTATGAAATAAATAATGTAAGCAAAACCGTTGGTTCACAATGAAAAAACACAGGTGACTCCACTGAAAGACACTACGGATCATTAATGGCACCACATACTCATTCCTTGAAGTAAATTATTTTTTAAATAATCTGTCAGCTTGTTTTCACACACACACACACACACACACACACACACACACACACACACACACACACACACACACACACACACACACACACACACACACACACACACACACACACACACACACACACACACACACACACACACTTACCAGTGTTTGCATCATTCCTTTGGACTGAGGGATGACCACCCGGAGGTCTGTCTTGCGGCTGGTAGGGACCAGGCTGTTCCCAGGAGGTGGAAGAGGAGGAGATTTGGGTGGTATAATCTTCCCCAAGCTGCTTCCACCAGGTGAGCCCACAAAACCGTTCACTAAAAAACAGAAAAGCAAACACATGGTGCCTGGTTAGCTCAGTCGGTAGAGCTGGCAACCCATGTACCGAGTTGCTGCCTGGGTTCGAATCCGACCTTCAGCCCTTTGCTGCGTGTCATCCCCACTCTCTGCCCCCCTTTCCTGTCTATCTTCGCCCATCACTTTCAATAAAAGGCCAAAATAAAAAAATATATTTTAGAAATGCAGACACACATGGACATTTAAGAAGTGATGGTGAGGCATTCCCAACTTTCCCTTAAGTGTTGACTTTATGGAGAATATGAGCTTTTCTACACAGACCAGCAGCCCTGTATGTGTAATTCAAATAAACATTTTGCCAGGGACATTTTCAGAGCCCCTCATAGTTGTCTCTTTTAGTGAAAAGCACAATGCACCTGGATGTAAAAATATTTTAAGATTTAGAAAAACAGAGGGGAGGTTATGAGGTTAGAATGGAGAAAGTACGGATATATATTATACAGGAGATAATAATGAATAATTGATATTTTCTTGCTCATGACATTGCATAATGGCGGTGTTCATAGGAGACATGCTGTTCTGAGAGGGAGACCACAAAGATGACAGGAAGGATAGTCTGCAAGGAGGACAGTTTGTAGCGAGGACCCAACAGCAAAGACAAGTACAGCTGAACATAAACCAGTAAAGAATTACTTGTAATAACAGATGACTTGACTATCATTTAAGCTAAAACCATTCAAATGGTCCAATGTAAAGTGGTCACTCACAGAACTTCCTATAGTAGCTATATTCAAATGGTCCAATGTAAAGTGGTCACTCACAGAACTTCCTATAGTAGCTATATTCAAGTCTTTGGTTGAAACATGATACATTTACTGGACTGACCGTCTAAAACAGTGGTTTCTGACTTGGGGATTGTGGCCTCCACAAGGGGTCACATAATAAATGTGAGGGGTCATGGGACAGGAAGCAGAAAACATATAAGAACATAAAATTGTGTTGTCCCTCTCATTTTTCCCTTTTTCCTCGTGAATTATTTGATAATCTTAGAGAATAATCACTCTTTTTTGGACTTGTCACAAACAGAAGATATATGCAACTAGGCGGTGACGAGGGATGAGAAGCCATTCCTTTGGTTTTAAAAAAAGGTTGGGTAGCACTGCTCTAGATGTTTGAGATGCTAAACAACAAACAACTATTGTTGTTTTGGTCACACGCCTTCACTTGTTTTTGCCTTTAATGGACAGGACAGCTCAAGATAGACAGGGAAACATTTAATCTGCTGTTTTGTAAGATCAGGTAGGTCTGCATCACTGCAAGTAATAAAAAATGTAGCGCTGTCAAACGATAATTGCATTAATGTCATAGTTAACTTGCAATTAATCGCAATTAATCGCACATTTTTATCTATTCTAAATGTTGCTTGATTTCTTTTTGTCCCATTATTTTTTCTCATTTTAATGCTCTTATCAACATGGAAAAGTGGATCGGCTTGCTTTGTGCAAATGTTGTTTTTATTGAAAAATCATCCATTGTCGCCTGGCTTTGACGAGGGGGCGGAGAATTCGCATCAGCTGTGTGTTTGGCCATCAAGTGGTATTTCAGACTGGACATGCTGCCTTGATAGCTCAGTTCACAACGACAAAACACACAGATCACTTTGGTCTTCTCAATGGAACCATTTGGCAACTTTTTAAAAGTAAACTTTCCATTCAGAATATTATTGGCATCCATTTCGGCGTCTCGCACTCGCCGTCCACTCAAAATGTAACATCTACTACTCTTAAACAAGTGTGTGCGGCTTTAATCTCGCAATAAAAAAATTTACGCCATTAAAATGGGTTTGCGTTAACGCCATTCATAACGCGTTTTATCTGACAGCACTAAAAAAACGAGAAACATGCTGAACACAAGAGTTACAGAACTTTTTCAAGAACTTATTTCAGAAACCTTAAACATAATAATGAGCAAAGCATGACTCTTTCCTCCTTGCATTTGTTTGGAAGGAGATATATACAGTAGGTGTGGCTGACTGTGAATTCCACTTTATTGTACTAAAGTTCACAATATATTATGTCACAAAAGTGTCTGTTGTGTGAGACATTTTCTCTGTCACTCTGAGCAGGTGGAGATTGGTGAACACTGGTGTAATATACAAAGTATGTGTTGAATAAAAGGAAGTGCAACCTGGACTCTGTGCTACTAATTCAACACTGTACACATGGGTTGCACTCTATGACATATGACATGAACATTGTAGTTATTGTATCTTTTTTATGTAATTCCACCTATTTCTACATTTCCTCAAACGTCACTTTAAGCACTGCAACTGCATTAGTTTTACACATTTTCTATAAAAAAGATTGTTATTAACATTTTATTAGCCGTAAATGCTGCTGCAGTTGGAGTTGACGTACAGGCTTATAAATGTCCTGTCATAATTTTTTCTCTGATGATCTCAGACAAACTGAATGTCCTTAAAGCTCAAAGCACTACCACAATAAAATAGTAGAATATGAAACATAATAATTGAATATGATGAATATTAACTGTCAGGCATGCTACTGGGTTATAAGAAGCAGATTTCCCAACAGCAACTAGCCTGATGTGTTGGACAGTGAACCTAACGGCAGACAGACAGAGAGAGACTGAGAAAGGGAAGAAATAGAGGGAGTTTATAGCAAGTAAGCCCCCATCAAGGAGAATGCTGGTTGTAAGAGGACAGATTTTCCTTGCATTATTTATACTTGTTATAGTCTTATTATATTAGACTTTTGTATGAGGACAGCTGGTAGAAAGATTCTTTTACTTGTGTAATGTGAAATGTTTCCTGGTCCACAATAAGTTGAATTACATATTTATGTACTTGTGGTCATGGTGTTGCTCAGGGGTAAAGTGCGTTTGACTCTTGACAGATACATACCAACTGGTCCAGACCCATTTTGCAGAGTCAGATCAGAACTGCTGTGCAGGCCACCTAAAGATAAACACACACAAAACACACACTAATTGTTATTTGATTTTTTTCCCCACCAGTTTTTGTTCTGTGACATGTATCCAATGTAACTGGTTTTGATGGTTGTCAGAATTAGTTTGCTGGTCTTTGTTTTATTTACTAATTGTCATTTGCCTGCTGTGTCTTTTTTGGCACAGTTGCTGGTAATTTTAAGTTCCACCTAGACAAAAGATGAACCTTTAAATACACATGCACAAAGAGTTTCCTATGACTGACTGTCATCAGCTCAGTATGCACACAATGAGTTTAGTTAGCACGTTATCTGCCTTCCCTTCTGGATTATCAAGCACACACACATACACGCACCTGTGTTCCCAGTGCTGGAAGGTCTATGTGGTGAGTTCATGTTTCTGTGGAGGTGTGTGTGAGGCGAGGAGAGGATCCCACTGTCAGCCAGAGCTGCTGTGGCTGCAGCTAGAGCTTGGGAGGTCGCTCCTCCTCCCCCTCCTGCACCGGAGCCGTACAACATGCTGCCTGGTGCTACATGCATGAAGTTCTGCTGTGGGAGGCCTGTGGGCTGCAGAGGTGACAGATAGAGACAAGTAAACATGAGCTTGATCAATAACAGAATACAATACTTGTATTCGGGTTTTTTTTTACATTACATTCTATGTTTTTGTGCTTGTCTGACAAGGTACTTCACCAAAGAGGTCAGGTATATGGTCACCAACTGACTGACTGACATAAATGGGACATTTGGCTCCCAATGTTGTGCTGTAGAGTGAAAAGAAAAGGAAGAAGTATCCCAATCTAAACCAATAGGATTTCAGAGTCTGTGGGGAAGATGCCAAAAAAAAAAGTAGACATACTGGCAGGAAGTTTGTTTGTTCAAGTACCTGCTGAGGAAATGTGGGTGGGAAAAGCCAATGGGTTACAGTCTCTACACAGACTTCAGACAAGGCTTTAAACTGCTTCAGCAGAGGTGCTCAGTGTCACTTGGTGCATTTGTATCTATGTGAAGAATAATGTAGCTGATCAAAACCGACAACAAACTACAGTGCAACTTACAATTTTATGACTCTTCATCATGTTGTCAAACTCTTCATTAATCTTCTTGTATTTCTCCTCAGTATTGGGGGTGAGGACGTAGGAGGCATCAGCATCGGGGCTGTCGCAGCCTCTGTGCTCCTTCTTGTTCAGGGCCTGTGGGTGAAATAAACACATGGGGAAGGCATTAGGTTTAGAAAGACTAATTAATATGCATTGGTAAAAAAAAAAAAATAGACATAGCAGCAACATCAACAGATTGTTGGCACAGTTTACAGAGGCCTTTGGTTGACATTCATACATTCAAAGCCACATTGTGGCGAGAGGAGAGACAACTTCATAAATCCCAATAAACCAGTTTGTTAAAAATGATTTACATTTACATCTATTTTATTATTTTTATGAATTCTTTCTGATGGAAAAGTCCGTCAGTACAGCTCTCAATGTCTAAAATACAATCCAATTTACAGAGCACATACAGCTTTAAGTGTTCATAATAGATTGTTAAAGAAATCAGACATACAGATAAAATCCCAATAAAACAAGCACTTCACAAATGTAAAAGGAGTCAAGCTGAGATTTAGCAGTTTTAAACATATTAACAATTCATGATTACTATATAATAACATTTGTCCATGTCACATGCTGAGGTATTGCAGAACACAGGATGTGTATGGTTCTGGTTGCTCCATATCTAATATATGGTTAAAGAGCAGGAAGGACAACCAATCTCTGACATGACAAGAAACCAGATCTGATTCTCAAGAGGTTCACAGTATCCAGATACATCCCTACAACACTGAGGCTGTAGTTACACTTCTGCAAGTCTCTACATGAAATCCTGGCGAGTTCTTTACTGGTATTCACAGTACAGTAAGAGGAAACACATTTATATAGCATGCTAAGATACCTTTATGGCGTTCGCAAAAACATCAAAACATTTTGTTGTTGTTTTCGTCATTACACATTATTTATGTTTTGTTTAGACATTTTTCTCAAATACTTCTCAAGCAGAATGTTTTAACAGCTTTTCCACTGACTGACTGTCTTGTTTTTGACCTTGTACCAATTGTTGGTTTAATTCACACGTTAATCAGGCTTTTATTTATCTTAATGTCTCTCTGGAGAATTCATTAACATTCATAGAGCAAAAGCATGCAACAGGGAGTTGGTAATCTAGAAAATAAAGCAGAGTAGTTGTATAATTTTAGTCACTCTAGCAGCATGGCTCGGAGTCGGTTGATCCACTACTTTAGTCCAGACTGAAATATTTGAACTATTGGATGGATTGCTGTGAAGTTGGTTACACAAATTCATTGTCTACAAAAGGACATATCCTCATGACTTTGGTGATCCCCTGACTTTTCATGTTGACTAATGCCATTCCAATGTTAGCATCCTCACTTTAGCATTTAAGTAAGGTCTCAGCATGACTGTAGACTCTTACGGCATGTCTACATGGGATGTGTTTCAGCTGTGTTTTTCAGTCATTCATCTGACAGAACTCACACATTTCTATTTGATCAATTCAGCTGTCTATACAGGCTGCGTAACAGATCACGTCTTACTCTTGCTATATGCATGTAAACACAATCCAAAACTAGATTTTGACAAGAATCTGGCAATACGATACATATCACGATACAGGGGTTACGATTCAATATATTGCAAGACTGTAAGCAACACGACATATATTGCGATTTCAAACAAATCTAACTTTAGTCATAGTACAAAGAACACAGCACAATATGCTTAATATCTGAGTAAAACAAAGTTTGCATTTTTATTTATCACAGTAACATCCGACATTATAGCCTTCAGTTCACGTTTACAACACTGTTATCTAGTGGTTTGGGGTTTATATAAAAAAAAACTTTTGAGAATCAATATAATATCACAAAGTCTAACAGTACTGCCTAGACTTTTGTCTATTGTTACATCATTTTGTGCCAGTTATGAGTGAATTATCTACATTCGTGGGGTCTCATTTTCTTTTTAACTGACTATCTTTTGTCTATGTAAATAAATATTGTCACTTCAATTCACTACTACTTGAGGCTTCAGCTTTTTACACACCATCAAAACAACTAACATCTATCAAGCATTGTTAAAACATCTCATACACAGTTTTGGCTACACACTAGTGGGAAAACATCCATCTATAAAATGTAAGGCTTATTTACACAGTCTGCAATGAGAAATTAATCTGGGAGTTACTGATCTGAGGCCTGTACAATTGGCGTCTACTTTGAGAAATGTATTCATGTTTTGCATAAACAGTAGCTGAACCGACGCCTTCATGCTTTATCTAAATATCATCTGCTTATACAGAAGAGCATACATTATTCTACTCGAGACATGCTGCTCCACGTCGCAAACTTACTCATCTATATTCACACCAGCCTTTTAAACACAATAGTCTGGAGTAAGCAGATATTTTTTATGGCAAGCCTGAAACAACTTTGGGTTTGGTTGGGTGTTTATAGTGCTGTAGGGTGTACAGACAGAGAAATAAAAGGCAAAAAGTTGGCGAATGCATCCCTGAACACTACAGAGTTATAGCCTTCAAATGAGATTCATGAGCACAAATTCTTCTCTCAATAGAGGATCATATTACTGTCAGCAGTACAGCTTAGACAAATATCCACAGAGCTGCAGGAAGGCAGTCCTGGTAAAGAAAATCCTGCTTTGATTAAGGAACAACCTGATCTTAAAATCAACTCAGGTAAGAATTACATTTAGGTTAGGCTTACAGTAAAGGCTGGGGTTAGGCATTAATTTGTGATGGCAATGTTAAGGACTACCAAAAGTATTATGTCAGTAAGGGTCCCATAAGAGGTATGTATGTTTCATCAATCATAAAGTACAATTATAATTATAGTGTTTTTGTTACAGATTAAAAATTCACACATTGGAAAAAGGATGTGAAACTAAAGTTTGTGATATTAATATAGTCAGAAATCTCGCTCTGTTACCAAAATGAGCAAGCCTACAGTGCTGCTTATACTCTTTACTTTCATCTTGTCACTTCCTAGCATAACATTTGTACACCCTTGCATCAATATCCTGCTTACAGTTTAATAAAATTTTAATTTCTGTTGTAACATACTGGGATGATAAACGTTTCTTTAACATATCCACCATTTGATAACTCCAATGAGTATTACATGCTCAATACAATGGGAATTTTTCTTCTTTTTCTGACATATATTGTACATTGTGCTTTTTAACATACTGTTAATAAATCACAGCAAGATACGTAAACTGGGAAGTTTAGATAAGTTAGTGAAGAGCATTAAATGGAGTGAGTTAGAGAAGTGAGCTTGTGACTGGCAGTTTGAAAACCCAAATCTGGAAATGTAAAAAAAGCAACATTTAAACCTGCATGAACTTATTTTTTTGGCTACTTGGGGGCAGTGAAAACAAGATATAAACACAACACTGACATATTATCACTTTTTAAGTTGATATGATGAACTTGTTAGCAAACAGTTGCCTATTTAGACATTCCATCGAAAAAGCAATGCAACATTAGTATTTTTTTGTAACCGTGTTTCTGGCCACCTGATGAATGTTAGTCCAATATTCACTCTCGTAGCTCTGTTTTGATCTCCAGTAACTCTGCTGGCTATCTGGCTCTTTAGCTGTTAAATGCTCACCTTAAGCCCTGTGTCTGTCTGTTATTTGGTGCTGGGCAAATAGTGTTTTCTGGAAACAGCTGCCTGCACACATAGTTATGTGATCCATTGTTAATATAAAAATATGTATTACTGGAGTCAAAGTCCAAAAAGTGTAGTGCACATTATATATATGTAATGTATGTATGTAATATATATACACATTTTCTGATGGTACATTTAAAATATTTAAATAAAATGAAATTGAATTTCCACCACAAATTCCCATTGTTAATAATAATGAAGTCAAGCAAGGAATTGGCATTGTTCAGGTGGTTTAGACTTACTTTAGGTAATCTGTTTAGAACATAGAACAGATGAATTGTTGGATGTTAATTTACAGCACCTGGACTTTGGTAGAGGAGTCACTGTAAAAAATCAAATCATACCGACATCATGCGAGCCTGGATGATGACATCACTTCTCTGGTATCCATCATCTCATCTCTGCTCCTCATTACATTACACGTCATTGCGTGGAAAGGACGGACTGACAGACCAACACACTAGCCAGCTGACTGTCTGTCCACCACATGTCTTCTGCATTCCCAGACACTGCTAGTTCATAAGAGTATTAAACACACACACTCACAAGTCTATTTTCACCACATGCCTGAAACTACATTTTAACAACTGGTGACCACTTAAGAAGTCACACACTCAATTATGGGATGGTACATTATCTGAGTTTGTCATTTGTTATTATTATACAAAATGACAGGTGGCAAACGAATCATCCATGTGTGATTTAAAATTCTGTAAATTACAAATAATATTGCCCTGACACATATTCGGACACACATGGTAGAGGAAAAGGGACTCCTATATTGTGTGTGAAGAGGATGATCCAAAACACACACTTTTCCACATGTTAACATTCCTGCAAAACTCCTCAAAAAACCATAGCTCTATCATCAGCAATGATATTTTTTTTTTACTATGCATTCTTTTCAGCCATCAATCGCCAGTGGCAGGTCAGGAGAGACACAAGAGTTTGGTGTTCCAATATACAAAAGAAGTTGTACTGTTCACTACTTATTCCTTATAACGGTCCAGAAAGAGCAAGGTCCCTGCTCCTGCTACTTTAAAGCACCGCATCGGTTTAATATGTCAATGGTTTTATGACAACAAGCTTACGGCAGGGAAGTACTGTGATAAACAACCTGTATTGAGATGTCACATAAACGTTTGTTCAAAGTCACTGGAATGAGTCTGCAAATACTTGCATGTGAAGGTATGTGTAACCCCTGAAAGTACATTGTAACTGTTACAGTAAGTTGACACAACTCTGTGACATTCAACGTATAATGACTCAGACATCATTATTAATGATGTGAGGAGAAAGGAGCCGAATTACGAAAGATGGAAAGTGTTTATTTACTCAGCATCAGGAGTTTGTTACTCTTCAGTCATTCTCTGATTCAGGTGTAAACTTTTCTTGACCTCACGGACAGCTGTTACCAAACATGTGATCTCTTCAGTTTCTTTAAATGTTTCACACATTCTCCGGTAGCTTTGCAGTTTCTTTAAATATGTGGGAGTTACAGTTCTGAACTTGAGTTCTGAAATAAGTTGTTTTCTTGGACTGAGAATGGACAGTGTGCAGTACAGAGTGGACAGAGGGCACAGAGGGACACAGAGTAGACCCAGGAGAGGAGGGTCCAGTGGGATTTGGTCCAAGACCCAGCGGGCTATATGTGGCTCCACAGATGCTAGTTTAAACCACTACATCATGTCTGGGCACTGACGACTATCTTAAAGTGTCTGTTAGAGGATCTGAGAGTGTGTGTGTCTCCTTATCATCTCAAATGTCAAAGTCGGCTTTAGAGGATCTCCAAAGGCATGTGGCTCATTGCCACCGTGAGGTACAAGCTGCAACGTTAAGCATCTTAACATGTGAGGGTGATGTCTTGTTGCTGTTGGGGCTGCATCAAAGATAAAATAAGCCACCCCCCTTTCCCTGGAGTGATTCTTTTCCAGTTGGGTGACTGCCCTATAGGCTAAGAATAGGGCAGGCACGGGAGTATTTGAGATGTGATTCGACACATCTCTGGCAGATAAGCACAGCTCACACACTTTCAAAGGCTAGTCCACACAGTTTCAGAAACAGATTGTTTTTTTATGAGGCATCCTATCATACTTGACCTGAACTAAACTGAATCAGCCGCTCTGCTGCCTGCCACACTGTCAGTTGTCAGCGTACTTTAGTTTTCACTTTCTGTTATGGTTCTCATTCATCTCTGGGTTCTGCAGGCTGGAATTACTACATCACATACCTTGGACGGCTGCTCTGTTGTTGTTGAAACTCAACTCTGCTGCACACAAACCTGTCTCATTATCATGACAAAGGTAATCTGTCAGGGAGATTAGCTGACCAGCTAGGACTATGTAGTTGTTTTAGTTGGCGGACCATCATCATTTAAAAAAAAAAGTTTTCCTTAGGTTCATCTCCCCTTCATATGAAATTATATCTCTAGAGTGTATATCAAAAGACTTATAGTTTAAAGTCGGAATAAAATAAAAATGTAGCGTTTCTAAGAAATCCGTATCAATAAATGTTACGGAGTGCTGCGGTTAAAGGACTACTCGTTGCCGTACGTTTTAATAGTCTGGTTATCTGCCATTACCATGAAAGACAGCTAAAGCTAGTTAAACTCTTACTCTCATTTGTATCACGTGGGACAAACAGAACCACCCCAATGGCGGATAACGCTTTGTGTGGTTGATGAAAAGGGAAAAATTTGTATTAACATTTTCAAACTCTACAGTAGGATATTTCTATGGCCAGTGCACCATGATACCTTAGCGGCTAAGTCAACACATCTGCTAGCATTGTTGGCTCTCAGATGTCAGTCAACAAAGGCTATGGGAACGGTCCATCAACTGTTTCCACAAATATGCGCAAAAAAGAATTTATCCTGCTTTAGAAAATTAAAAAACAGCAATAGCTCGAATGCCATGACATGCACAAGGAGAATTCAAATTTCAATTCAACTTAAAAAGATACTTAAATAAACTATCAAACCAGGTAAAGAGATACAGTGCTAATACTCATGTGCAGACGGCCTGTGTGTGACAAAGAAATGTGTGAGCCGTTTGTGTCTGTGCCAGACATTTAATCATCAGTCAACATCTTCCATCAAAAAACAACAATGAACCCAAAGAAGCCTTCTGGCAGTCCCTCCCAACATGGGAAGTCTGTTGCAGCCCATAGTGTAATACTTTACACATAGTCAAATTTAATGTTTTAATGTTGCAAATGGACTGACCGATATGTAAAAGAGCAACCTCTTGCTTTCCAGGCTTTGTTTTAACTAGCTTGTCTGTTTGTGTGACATCTGTGGGAAAAAACAAACAAATGAGGGTTCAAAGCAGGCAAATCATGCCTGGCTAATGGCTCACGGAGCCGACACAGGTGTCTGTTTGTGGTTTACAGCAGGAGAATAGACACGATTATGCTATTTCATTCAGCATTCAACAGTTGTGGTCTTTGAAGAGGATTTACTGTTTCACATGCATGCTCATGTTCATCTTTAAGCCTGTATTGGCTTTAGATAGCAGTGTTGTAAATGTAAACTGAGGGCTATGATGTTAAAATGCAAATAAACTCAGATTTTAAGCATATTGTGCTGTGTTCTTTGTACTACCACAGTATAGGCACTGTGATCAATACAAATGCAGATGCTCTAGTTGCATAAAAAAAGTAAAACATGTTTGTATTCATATGGTAGTTTTTTTTTTTTTTTAAGAATCGCAATATATTGCCTTGCATAAAGTATCGCAATATATCGCATTATATTGAATCATAACCCCTGTATTGTGGTATGTATTATATCGGCAGATACAAAGCCTTCATTGGCTCAAGGTTTCTTTTCCTTTTCAGTTCTATAATAGTTTATTTCCCCTTGAGAAACAATGTTAGATTTACTTGGGTAGGTTAAGTCTGTAATTTTGGTAAGATAAATGTCACTGAGTGAAGACAGAAAGCAGCTGGAAAACATGCCTGGACTCTCCTGAAAAAAACTTGAATCCTAATTTAAACTTTTAAAAAAAAGACTAAGAATTTTGAAAAGAAATAGTTAAATAGTTTAGGAAGTTTAGCTTCTTTTTCAGTTGACAGTTTTCATTTGGTACAGCACTGCAGCATGCATGTGTGTGTGTGTGTGTGTGTGTTTGTGGGAGCAGTAACTTCAGGCTCTCAGCAAGGCAAACACACATTAGAAGCTTACATAAACAGCCAGAACGTGAGTCACGATGACCATTCATTTTTAATGGCAGCAGCAGTGAGTACGTGCTGTGAAGAGACAGGACAGTGCTGCTCAGGGACCATGATGCAACAGCACCAGCGTCAGCACCCGGATGACGCTGCAGCCAGGACCCCACAAAACGGGCAAACAGCTGGATCTTCTCTTATCACTAAAAACCTCAATGCGTAATAAACAGTAACACAGATGCATTACCCAAAATCATTTTTCTCTATTTCCTTTCCTTCAATTTGTGACATGAAAATCTCAGTCTTCATTATTAGTTAAGTACATTTTTTGTGAGCACTGCAAAATCTGTGTCACTTTACTTCCTAAGTAAACAAAACAAGATACAATGAAAGTCTGATTATTTACCCAATACAGTCACTGCTTCACCTACTCAACACACAAGCCTGGCATGTTTAGTCATTAAAATGAACAAACCATCAAGTCTCAGTTGCTACACATTTACCTTTTCTCACTTTTTATCATTTGTACCAAATCTTTTGTCTCATTTTGGGTAAGTTGACCAATTCATCTTAGTTTATTACCTTTCAGTCTACTAGTTCCTCTTTTCTTTTTCTTTTCTCTGTATGTAGTCTCTATTAACTGTCCATGGAAAAAAATGGAAAACATGTCTAGGGTTTCATATCAATTCCCCTCATGCATGAATGCACTCCTCTATCAAACCATCAAATGAAAAAACACATCAAATATCATCTCTTCTCTATAATTTTGCAAATGCAAAATAGACTGTTAGATCCATATTTGCATATTGGAATTTAGGTGGCACTCACAACACTATGTACTATGTGCAACAGCATAATAAGTTTCTATAGACCACCCACCAAATGTAAAGAGGAAAAAGAAAGTTCACATTCCCTACAAACATAGACTGTACATAAACAAGACTGTACTGGGTACCATATTTTGTCAGTGCAAAGCTCTCCAATGATATAAGATGGAGAGAACCATTTGAACTAAACTGCCCAGCCACTCACCTCTACAATGTCAGAGTTGGTTCTGCTCTCGTGGGGTTCATTGTACTCGGTGTATTTCAGTAGGACTTTGTCCATGTCGGTGCTGGCATACTGAAACAGCTTGTTGGAGCTGTTGAAGATGATGAGGGCGATTTCACAGTCACAAAGAACGCTCAACTCATAGGCCTTCTTCATCAAACCAAACTTCCTCTTCATGAAAGTCACCTAGAAGGACAGATGGATCAATTTAGTTTTCTTCAAATCTCTGCTCCTATCACAACGAGGAGAGTTTGGCTAAAACAAGTTGTGAATCTAGGAGCATCATACTAATCAGTCGTTCAGAAGCGCATTCTGGACATACAAACAAGCAGTTTACAAGCAGGGAGAACAACATGGATGCAATTGGCAGTGCAAAACTGAATAACAACTGATTACATTTTCAAATTATTTTAAAAGCATCTGCATATTTTTCCCATTTTTTTCTTTTCATTTTCTATTACCTAAAACATTATTTCTACAATTGAGATGTCACAGTAGAAGGTATATAATAATAATAGTGCTAATTTGATATGTGCAGGGGAGGTGTAAGCCAAAGTGGTTTATACAAAGTTCTCTCCAATGCAATCAATATTTACTATAAACAGGAGTCTTTCAGCAGAAAACACAACTTTAAAATTTTTAAAGGGACATAAAATTGCATGAAAAGGAGTGGTGTCATGATCCAAAATCCAAATAGCCATCCAACTGCAGCCTTTGATCTGAGGGATATGGTGTGCGAAGTGTGGTGCAACAACAGTCTTAATATTTGCATTTACATTGATGTTGTATTTCAGGCATTTAGTTGCTCTTACCCAGATCAACTGATAATGAGCCACTGAACAAAGCGGTACTGACTCAAAATCAACTGATACCAAAATACACAGTGAGTCACTGACAGAACCTTGTAAGAGATAACAAAAGTGATTCAAAATGTGTCTATGTCACATATGGAGGAGAGGAGAAGGAGGGAGGTTCCCATGCGAGATCTGACACTTAATTCCCAAAAGAGGGTGGTTGGGTTCAGCCTTGAACGTAATCATATTCCTTGAAAGTCCTTATACTGTCAGCAAACCCTCCTTGGATATGCATGACAAAAATAGTCCAAGTGTAATCTGTAATCTAAAATGATAACAATCATTCTTTAAACCTCCATGTTCCCCTAAATCATAAATTGCACCTTTACATAAGGCTAAATGTTTGGAGTGTACCTAAAAGCTCACACCAAACCCACACACAACCCACAGGTCACACATCCATCATACTCTCTCATCCCTTTTTTGCTGTGCATTCAACTCCCTGCAATGAGTCAGTGTGTGCATCTGGGTATGTCTTCCTTCCATCATGGCTTATGGGATCCTGACTCATATCATCACATACCTACAAGCTGCCTTTGACTCTCACACCTTGTCGCACCTCCAAGATTTCCAGCAATGCTGAGTATCAGGTGTACTGGTCCATGTCTGACTGCTTCATGTTCTCACATTTCCACACATTCACCACTCTGCAGCTTAAACACAGTCCTCTACTGCTGCTGCTGAGCTACTTTACTGGAGTGGTTAGGTAGTACCTTAGGTTCTTGCTCAAAGGCACTGTATCAGAGGTGGTTGATAAAGGGTATATCCAATATTACCAACATGCAATCTAAATGGACTACAACTGCCCCTGAAAACCATCTTTCTCTATCCACAGTTGTGTCAACCATTGCAGTTGCTATTTACTGATGATGACTCTAAATTAGAAGAACAGGAATCTCCTAATCAGACTGGCAGTTTTCTATAGTTGTGGTTGAAGCAAGTGTGTGTGCCATTCACACATAGAGATATTCATCTGTTGCAGTACTTAAAAAAACACCCACACCCATACTTTTGTTTCCCCTATGCCATCTTTTTACTTTCTATAGCACCTACTCACCACCACTGGAAATTCACTGGTCACAGAAATATCCCCTCAGTCTGCTGTAACCTTTGTTCTACTTGAAGAACAAGAAATGATGCTACCTTCAATGTGGGCCTCACTGGAAGTGAGTTAACTGACATATGTAGAGTGGAAACCATAACCTTCGTTAGCCAAAGCATGTCAGTTGTTGGGTTAAATGTATTGAGCCTGGTGACTTACAGCTCCTCACATATTCCAGCCTCACTTGGAGGCTTTTACCCAGGGAACTGCAGGGAGTACCATTATATGCATGAAAGCACTGTGGCTTTTTATATTTTATAGCACAGAAAACCAGATAGAGAAAGACGTGCTGTTAACAAGTGATTTAGTGTCCTATATGGTTATAAAAGTATTTATATATTTTTTAATTTTAACATTTTCTCAATGGGGTAGATATAATGTCATATTTTGTCTCCAGTGCAGTTTAATTTGTTTTTTAAATGTCTAAGGAGCAAAGTGTCCTCAGCCAAGATGTTGGGGCTCTTGCAACATCACATGTTCCAGTTAGGGAGACTTCATCAGATGGCCAACCAAGTTCATGTTCAACCAAGCTGAACATTTGCACTAATGCCAGAAACATCTGGAACAGTAGTAGTCACTGAATAAATGTTGCATCTCATTATAGTAACTAGATTAGATGATAGTGGTCTAAAGGACGCCACGGTTCTCACTATGATTCCAAGGGCAGTTAAGGTTTTTTTGTTTAGTTTAGTTTTTTTACAGCTACCTCTTAAATGATGTTTGAAATTATAATTATAGTCATTATTTCTTCAGCATGACTTGCAAATACATTTCTTTGAAAGAACTGCCTTGTTCCTCTTTTAGACTATTTAACTGCCAATGTATCGCTGGTGCCTCTTGCTACTACACCAATGTCATTACTATATATTCTATATAGTGTGAAATAGCATGACAGTTACAAAAAGAGGAAAACCTGCTAAAAAAAACTTGACAGATAAAACAAGAACACAAGCCAACTTCCCAAAATAGAGTACAAGAACCTAAATATACAGCAGGCTCCAGTGATGCACACCCGACAGCTAAAACAGTGTCTATCTAAAAATGCTCTGGCCAAGACAACCAAACATCAAATATAAACATCATCCCAGATATTTATTTTCCAGCCACATCCCTATTTCCAGAGCCTGCGCCTTCTGTCCAGACAGGCTGGTATTTGTTGTGCTGTTGGGGGTGATATATATAGAGGAGACAGACAGAGAGGGATTCCAGTGGGCAGCAGTGTGGCTGCGCAAGGAGACGGTGAGGAGAGAAGGCCACTGTGTGTCCCTAACACTGACCCGCCCTGCTAATGACAGGGTGCTGTCCGGAGCTAGCTAACCCCAAATTACTGCCCTCGCCACCAGCTGTGACCACTGCACTCTCAAAAGTAAAACTTAGGAATCTTCAGGAGTTCTTTGGATTGAAACCATAGGGGATCCACAGAACGCTCTTTGAGGGATCCCTTTGTAAAGCGTTCATTAACCTGCAAATACTTGCACATCCACATAATATTTGGTCTGTCTATATGAAGACTCTACAGGGCTGCTTTTTAAAATGTAATCTCCACCTCTGCTTGTGGCTCATTTGGATCTTGGAATAAATCCAGTGAATCCTTATTTGTTGGAGTGGGATCTAAGCAGCATTCAGGGGCCACACATCAACTCATCATAAAAACAAAACATAACAACCAAACAATTCCACAACTGCCTCTAGATGTTGTTTACCACAGCAGAGATATGCAGGAGGCTTCTTTTTTTTTTTTTAAATGGATGCATTTTGTGATTTAGAAGACTGGGGAAATATTCAACATAGTAGTGTCAGGGAGAAGGAGCTTACAAAAGCTTATGTGCACAGGAGGTTCTTTCACCCAAAAGGTTTTGTGCAAAGAACAAACAAGGCATAATTCTTATATAAGGGACGCACTCCTTATATGGGTTATATCACTCCGTAGATGTGAGAGCTGACTATCCTTGGACACCTTGCTTTGCCACTTCTGCACCTGTAAGGCCTTTACACACCAAGTCCATATTTTCCATGTGCGTTTTTTTAATCCGTCATCCGATATATTTGTTATCCGTAGAAACCTTGCACACTGATCTGATGCGCTTTATTATTCTATTCGTTCAGAAATTCACAATACGAGAGTGAGTCATCAACCAACCAGGATGATTATGTGGTCCTCTGACTTAAAAGTATAAACAGAAAAAGGAAATATTACATACAAGGTGTTTCTTGACGCTGCTGTTACTCTGTCTTACTCTTTCTCCCTCATTTCCTCCCTTGCTTCCTCCACTGGCGGTTCCTCAGCAGGCTGTTGCCACTCTCTGCCCACGTCTTACATTTGGCATCGTGGCTACAAGAGGCAAAGCTGTCCTCCCTCTCGAACTATTGTTCCCCCTCTCTGTCTGTGTGCTGTCCTCATCCTCTATTTCTTTTGACGGGTGCGAAAAAACGCAGCAAATCAAACCTGTTCCACTGACGGACATGATTGATACAATGTGAGGTTGTTTTTTCTTTTAAATGTGCAACAATTCTGAATGAAAAACAGACTTGGCGTGCAAAGGCCTTTACCAATGATATGGATATAGCAAGGCAACAATATTGCATTGTTTATGTTGCTGTACTGCTGTGAATAAGTACACGACTAAATCTTTAAAAATGTAAGATTAAATGACACTGAAGACACTGACCTGGCGGTTCCTCTCATCTACGATCCGGGTGATCTGGATCTTCTTCCTCCCCATTGCCAAAACAACTTCCTCCAACAGCTGAAGAAGAATGAAAGTGGGCTCCAGGTAGTCAAGAGTTCAGCAGAAAATCCTTAACACATAGTTCCACTCTCAGCTTTGTTGCTTCAGTATCAGTTTTGCATGGCTTGCTGAAAAAGACAGAGATAGAGACAGACAACTTAGTCCCAATGTTATTCAGCCATCATCACAGTATGAACAGTGGAACAAACAGTTACATTTAGCAAATACATTCAAATACTTCATAAGAGCATCACTTAACAAAAGGTCCTACATTCCTTGCACCAAGACAATGTCAAGAAATGTAAAAAATCCCAGTCTTTGCACTCTGGGATAGACCAAACAACAGATATTTTCCTCGATGAATAAAGTATGTATATACAATTTACTACGGGCTGTTTTCTGGAGAAATTTCTTTGGTTACTAATTCAAGTAATTCTGTGCAAACATTTCCATGCAACCGACTATAACACTATTTTCTGTGTAAAGACTTGGCAAGACCTGGTGTATCCTTCCTTCAGGCTTTCTTTTCCTTCTTTAATTTGTCAGTTTCCTCAATATTGCACCGCTGCACTGCAGTCTTTGTCACTGCTAATTCCACTCTGCTGCTTCTCTTCACCTGACAGCAAGGAGGTCACCAGGGTGGCATAAAATGCACCAAGGTTTGCTGACCAACCAGCAGGATTTGCTAGTTCAACAACAAGGATATGATTTCTCACCGGTTTCCAACCAACAAACACTTCCAACTGTGTTTGTTGGAACACACAACCAAGCCAAATGCACTGCTACCAGGGACTGAACCAGCATTACTGCCATAGTCTCTCTCTTCTCTTCCAGGGTCCTTTTGGCCTCAGAAGTCTTTTACTTTGGAGTTTGATCTGTGACCATGGATTTTATATACACACATCAAGAGGAACTCAAGAGCAATCTGACTGAAAAACACCAAGAGAACTGTAGTCCATCTACGTCATCACACACCTTGTCTAGCTGGCTCCAAACTCTCGTCGACAGCAGCACTCCTTCATGTACACCAACATGAGTATTTAGCCCAGTAGTCTTGAGAGAACTCGCCTCTGCTCTCCTGCTTTCTCCTCCTGCAGGAGTGCCCACCTGCCTCGCTGAGTCCCTCCTCTCCTCAGCCACAGTGTTTCTGAGCCCTGCCTTCCCCCAGAGCTCCTTAGCTCTTTCCTAATCTCATCTGATCTGGGAGGAGGCAGAGAGTGAGGCGAAGCCTGGCTGGCTTTATCCTAACCCTCTCTGGATTACTGCAGCATGTGGATCCCAGAGCTGAGCCACCAAAACCCCCACTGCAGACCCATTTCAAAGGGTTGGGAGATGGGACAAACATATTTGTCATGCACAGTGGAAATGTATTGGTGATTATCTGTTGATTTTAAAGGACCTCTACATTTGATAAAAGTATAATATTATTGAGTGCCAGTCACTTATCTAGCAGATACATCAAGAATAATAAAATGAAATAGAAAATCCCATGTTGATTTGAAATGCAGTCTTTACGGTAATGTGGTCTTTTACCATGAGTGATTGTTTAAAAGCTTCCTATTGAAAATACACATCAATAAACACATTCTCTTTTCATATTTATTTTTTTGGTCCTTGAACATTTACAGTTGTATATTATGGCAATTGGTTTGCAAAAGACTGCACGCAATCATCTAACCCATCCAGTTCAGCACTAGCACAGATCCCAGCTGACCCTGCCAGGTCAGTTCAGGGTACACACTGTCACAGACAAAGACTCCTTGCATATTTGGGATTTAAAGGTCAGAAGGATTTATCTGTTTGACAATCTGGATGATTTGATGGCAAGACACAAATATTTTAAAAAGAGAAAAAAAAAGAATCCTTTCCACCAGTCTTTCCACGAGAAAGGAGACAACAAACATTTCTTTCCAGCAGTTCTTGGGTGATGGTTCAGTTTAATTGCTATATTCTATTGCTAAGTTTGAAACAGCTAAATCCTTGTGGCGCTGTAAAGTCACTCTATAGAGCTCTGCACTAGTTAGGAGAGTCTTTGAAAAGCAGAAGACCCTTTGTAGCACTTGTGTGAGAACTGAGTTTTTGTGTTGATAATAATGCGTCACATAAAACGCCATAAATGGTTGGTTGACAATGTATATGTTCAATTATTTTAACATGTACCTTTACATAGTCATATTGGTGCAAAATTGGAACATAAACATAACACTGAAAAGGTCTTTTTCATTTCATCTCAAAATGGTACTACAGCGGCCACTATATCGGTAATATGTGAATTTTTCCCCTCTAAAATCGATATCCTTCTCAAAAAATCCCATCACTCTGCTAACTTGACGAACTAAATTTAATCAAATTAATAATAAACCCTGTATAGACTACTAATCTGTTTTCCCAAACAAGTTTTATAAGGAAACATAATTGCTCCCAGGATTATGTTCCCTGCAATGTTTTTGAGAGTAGGAACATTTATTTAGCACTTACTATTGTGACTGGGATGGATGGTGAAAGTACAAAGTGCAGGACTTTAATGCCAGAGACTGGGATTTACATCCTGACTCCCGTGCAATCTCAGGCAACAAAGGCACGTTGGTAAAGGCTAGGGAAAGACTGTGGTTTCAGTTAAATGTTAATGAATTGAGCATGTCTGGTTTTGTGCTTGAAGTCACTGTGGACTTTGTCAATATTAAACCAACAACAGGATCTCGTCCTAACCTTAACCAAATGCTGTGAGCGCCTAAACATGACCATAGAAAAAGTTTTAAAATGTTGTAGTTGCTGCAGGTGGATGAGTTGTCATTGCACATGTTTTGCTCGACACTATGCAGATATTTTCATTATTGTTGCAATTTCTTGGAGCAAGTTTTGTCCTAATACATGATGATTGTAGTTCTGATTAGGTTTCATGCCTTCACATTGACAATAGAGGCCTCACCCAATACGATGTTGTTTCGAAAAAAATCTCAGTAAAAATTGTCATTTCCAGAAATATCTGTGTCCACACGGATTCACTGAAACGACTGGAGCGTCTAGCGGCGGCGGCTGAGGTTAAATGCTAGAGAGGCGGAAAAAAATCCGCCCAATGACTCCGGGCAATCCGGCGTTTTCAGATTTTCCCACTCTGGGACCTGTTTCCACAAAATATCGTTTTCGCTTTCACGCCGTATCCATCTGGACGCGAGGCCGATACCATAAAGTATTTATCCGGATTTTAGAAAAACGTATTTGTGAGGACAGGCCCCTAGTGTCCTCATGCTGTCCTGTGAATGCTTTATTATGTGTAATGTTGGTGATAAGTGAAAGCTTAACTACAGAATACTCACAATACATAAAAATACAAATTTACAAACTGTAAATAGACTATTTTCTTTTGTTTTTGTCTTTGTGACAATAAATCTGGCTCTGGCTTCAGAGTCTGTGAAGCAGTGACAGAGCTTACATGTGCATGTGCTTCCAAGACACCCAGACCAGTTGTCCTGATCAATGCAGATGTAATATGTTACTATGGCAGAAACTCTATCTGGCTGATGTAAAAATCAATAAAACCCACGGGATGAGCCAACAGGCTGCAGCAACCAGCACTCACACAAACATCTACATGACAAAGCTATATATGGTAATTTCATTACATCCGAATGAAAAACACAATGTGAGAGGAGGAGCAAAGGAGCACATTGGTTATATTTTTATGTTAATTTAAGACTGAATCCTCTTGAGTCTCTTTATATTTTTGAAAAGTTAACCTCTGGCAATTTCCAAGTGTCTCCAGATGATTTATTAAAATAGATATTTAGCTATTTGGAATAAAGTGTATGAACCTTCTTCATTTCTTCAGAACCAGTCTTTTTTATGTGAAATAACAGCTGTATTGTATTGTTTATCAATTTCATCTATTTTTTTTTTGGGAAACTAATTGTGCAGTGAAAAAACTAAATTAATCAATTAATTCAATTAAAAAGAATTATTTTTTGTAAACCTTTGTAGGGGTAAAAGTTAGTGAACGTTGAGCTGCATTGCTTAAAAGGAGCAGGTAAATACAATCAGGAGGCACAAAATTGTTGGGTACATTAACTAACTAATGAGACATCTTAAGAGAAGACATTGGGTAGCACTGATTGAAACCGATCAAACCAGGTCAAATTAGTCTTACCACAATTAATCGAAATATTATCGAAATCGCAATATGACCCAACGCAATATCCAAATCGCAAAAGCTGCAAATTGTTTGATAAAAGGTCAAATGTGTGACAAAAAGGCATTATAATGCAGTACTGTAGTGCTGCAGAGATGAACTGGCCTACAAATCTTGCTCTCCAGACTGAAGAAAAATCATGTTGTATGGTACAGAGATTTTAATATACATAATAATACACATAATAACAATATGATGTTTTTACCGAATAGTGCAGCCCTAGCTGAGAGGAAGACAGCTCTCAGAGGACCTCTGGATGACAGTAACACCACTTGCCTGAGGAAAGCTATAAATTCATCTAAAGAAAATGTGAGCTCCATTGGTCCGCCGTATGGTTCACAAACTGTTGAGCAGCGCTGTGTGAGTCACATGATCAATCTATCAAATTTCTGTATGATTTTTCTTTGATCGTATGTTTTTGGTACCTTCGGCCTTCAGCTTGTAAAATAATAACACTTGCAAGTAATTGTAGTTACACATTATCATTTATTTTCTGGATATTTTGTATTTTGGAAAATCATTTCTATATTTATTATAGTAATTTCCTAAATTATCAAACATCAGTGAAATAGCTCTGTAGTTTCCTTATCTATACTTGCTGTGGCCTGTCTTTAACTTCAAAATATACCCCCCCAAGCTCCCACACCCCCCATGTATCCTTAACATGAGGTGCTAAGCCCTCCGAGCAAACCTCGCAGCAAAACGCTCTTCTCTTTATCTCACCCATGAAATCCAATTGCTGTGGATCTTAAGAACCGTGACCATGCTTTGTGAGGCTGTGAAACACACTTTTCCAAGGTTGAATCGCACAGGATTTTATATCAGTTATGCCTGTACAATAGCAGAATGTCACATATTGTTGTTTTGGTAAATGGAGACTATGGGTTTCAACATTTTTCTACACATAAAGTATACTGAAGCAGAACATTTCTTACTAAAAAC